TACTACTGAAGACACCGGATCAGTGGGCAACCCAAGTAAGAATCCTTTAGGTATCGGAGGCCGAGTAGGGTTGCGTTATCGAGTGCCAGTATCCTCGATCGAGTCTCTGACATTTTTATGTTGTATTTCAGAGGAATCATGGTTGGGACACGCCACAGACTTGGGACGAGCGATGTAAGTGACGAGGAGCTTCGTCAGATGATCCACGATGAGGTGGTTGCGGCAATCAGGGCCGAGATTCCAGAGATGTTTGGGTCTATCAAGACCATGCTTATGGAGACTTTTGATGAGCGGTATGCCGCGGTGAATGAGGCCGCATCCGCTGCAGCTACAGCAGCTGTGGCAGCTGCCATACCTAAGGGAGGTGACTCGTTGTTGTTCCAGAAGTTCAGCAACATGAAGCCACCCAAGTTTGATGGGACGCAGGATCCGATCGCTGCGATGAGATGGATTGCTGACATTGAGGGATGCTTCTATACGTGTCATGTCCGGAGCATCTGAGGCTACAGTTCGCTTTGAACCAGCTCCGCCTAGGAGCAAAGGATTGGTGGAAGTTCGTGACAGCGAACTTTAGTCTTGCAGAGATTTCAGCAGTGACCTGGGAGAGGTTCACCACCCATGTTCAAAGATGAGTATGTTCCCCCGGTGGAGAGGGAACGGCTGATTTAGGAGTTCTTGACCCTCAAGCAGGGTAATGATTCAATTGTTGTGGTCACCCGGAAGTTTCATGAGAGGGCGATGTTCTGCCCTGAGCAGGTGTCTACTGAGCAGGCATGGATGAGCCGATCTTTGGGTATTCTGAGGAGGGACATTCGGGAGTTCATATCGAACTCGACGTACCGGACATTTGCTGAGCTCCACGCAAATGCCCAGAAGAGGGAGATTGAGTTGGAGACTCAGGCCAGCGAGGAGGCCGAGTCTCAGAGGATGGATCGGCGGCCGGCTCAGTCTCAGCCGGCAGCCAAGCGGACCAAGTCCGCTGATTCGAGGACGGGAGGCCAGAAAGGCCACACTTGCAGAAAGTGCGGCAAGGGTCATGAGGGGGCCGGTAGATCAGGTGCTTGCTACAAATGTGGCAAGGAGGGGCATATCGCCAGCAATTTCCCCAAGGGATTTATAGTTTGCTTCCATTGCAACCAGACCGGCGATCGGAAGGCCTAGTGTCCTCAGCTACAACAGGGATCAGCACAAGGATCTGTGCCTACTGGCAGGGTTACTGAGATTCGACCGACAAAGGCTGAGGCTCCGAAGGCTAGTGGGAGAGCTTTCCAGTTAACTACGGAGGAGATCCACGCGATGCCCGATGTCGTGGCTGGTACTTTTCTTGTGAATTATGTACTTGCCTTGGTATTATTTGACTCGGGTGTGAGTCGGTCTTTTGTATCTTTGGCTTTTAGTCAGCACATCAGTATTGATCGAGAGGTGATGACTCGACCCCTGAGGGTTTCCATAGCTGATGAGAAAGCGGTATATGCCACCGAGGTGATTCAAGGATGTGTGCTCGAGATTTTTGGTGTCAAGTTCCCAATAGATCTAGTTCCTATCGCGATGGGAGATGTCTGTGTCATTGTAGGCATGGACTGGTTGAGTAAGTTTGGAGTGGTTATTGACTGCGAGAGACAGCTGGTGACCAAACGAGACCCTAATGGGGGAGTGCTTACTATGTATGGCGAAGGGACCCGGTATGGGTCAGTGTTTTGTTCGGCTGCCAGGGCGAGACAGAGTTTGCAGCAGGGCTGCAGTGGATTTATAGCCTATGTGATGGACACACGAGTGGCCGCAGGGAGGCCAAGTTCGGTTGACGAGGTCCCGGTAGTGTGCGAGTTTCCAGATGTTTTTCCCAAGGACCTGTCGGGCGTGCCTCCAGAAAGACAAGTGAAGTTCCGTATCGATTTGGTTCTGGGAGCAGCACGTATCGCCAAGGCGCCTTATCGCCTCGCTCCACAAGAGATGCATGAGTTATCCTCACAGCTTCAGGAGCTGTGGGGGAGGGGGTTCATTCGACCGAGTAGCTCACCTTGGGGAGCGCCGATCCTTTTTGTCAAAAAGAAGGATGGTTCACACCGGATGTGTATTGATTACCGGGAGTTGAACAAGTTGACAGTCAAGAACCGGTATCCGTTACCTAGACTTGAGGTCGGGTTATCATCAGATGAGGGCTCGGGATGAAGATATCCAGAAGACTGCATTCATAACTCGTTATGGACATTATGAGTTTGTGGTGATGCCTTTTGGTCTCACCAATGCCCCAGCTATGTTCATGGATCTCATGAACAGGGTGTGCAGGCCGATGCTGGATCGGTCGGTGATCGTATTCATTGATGATATTTTGGTATATTCGAGGTCTAGAGAGCAGCATGAGGAGCATTTAAGAGAGATCCTTGGAGTTCTGAGATCAGAGAGGTTGTATGCCAAATTCTCCAAGTGTGATTTCTGGTTACGAGAGGTCCAGTTCCTAGGGCATCTTGTTAACCAGAAGGGGATATTGGTCGATCCGGCCAAGATCGAGGTGGTGATGAGATGGGAGGTACCGAGATCACCCACTGAGATCAGGAGCTTTCTTGGATTGGCCGGCTATTATCGGAGGTTTATTAGGGATTTCTCCAAGATCGCCGTGCCACCTACCAAGATGACCCGGAAGGGTGTTGCATTTTCATGGGGTCCGGAGCAGTAGTCCTCATTTGAGACACTTCGCCAGAAGTTGTGCGAAGCCCCGATGCTCGCACTCCCGAAAGGGATGGAGGATTTTGTGGTATAATGTGATACATCAATATATGCGTTAGGGGAATTGCTTATGCAAAGGGGGCACGTGATAGTGTATGCATCGAGGAAGCTGAAGCCTCATGAGTCGAGATATTCCACCCACAATCTGGAGTTGGGGGCTATGGAGTTTGCCCTCAAGAACTGGCGACACTATCTGTATGGGGTTCGGTGTACCATATACACGGACCACAAGAGTCTGAAGTACTTGACGGATCAGCCAAACCTGAATATGCGCCAGAGGAGATGGTTGGATGTGGTGAAGGATTATGATTGTGAGATCCTGTACCACCCCGGCAAGGCTAATGTCGTAGCTGATGCTTTGAGCCGTAGGGCGGAGAGCGCCTCGATTCGAGACGTTTGTATGAGGTTGATAGTGATGAATCCGGTATTGGACACCATCCGAGGGGCCCAAGCTGATGCTGCGAGACCAGAAAACTGAAAGAGGAAGCGAGTTGTCGGGTAGGTATCGGAGTTTGTTACCGATAGCCGGGGACTTATGACATTTTAGGGTCGTATTTGGGTACCGTTTGTGGGTGGGATGCGTACCATTTTGATGGAAGAGGCACATCGATCGAATTTCTCGATCCATCCCGGGGCCACTAAGATGTATTTGGACCTAAAGAAGGAGTATTGGTGGCCCTGTATGAAGAGGGATGTTGCATGGTTCGTCGAGAGGTGCCTAACTTATCGTCGGGTTAAGGCCGATCACCAGCATCCGCATGGTAAGCTGCAGCCGCTGGAGATCCCTGAGTGGAAGTGGGAATAGATTACCATGGATTTTATCACCGAATTGCCAAAGACTGTGAGGGGAGTCAATGCAATTTGGGTGATTGTGGATAGGATGACGAAGAGGGCTCATTTTCTTGCTATCAATGAGAGCTCTTCTGCTGAGAGGTTGGTAGAGTTGTATGTGAGGGAGGTGGTATCGCGGCATGGGGTTCCGATGTCAATTGTTTCAGATCCAGAGGTACAATTCACTTCCAGATTTTGGAAGAAGTTT